AAGCTCCATGTGAACAAGAGTTGCCCGGAGCAGAAGTTTTAGAAACTTCTGAGGAGAAGAATCTTCACAGCGAAGAAAAGAAAGAGCATGCCATGCTGCTTTGATGTTCAAGACTAATGATCTTCTTGCACGGTTATCTTGCAACCATCCTATGTATGGAAGGGCTTGCTATTGGTGAGTCCTCAAACTCGATACTTTGAATGACAGTTATCAGTTGCACCTGTCGATGATGCTAGTTAGCGTTGTTTTTTGCTTGTTCAGCATATGCCCTGCAGACTCAGAAGTATCTGAGGGGGGTTGCTGGATGCATCACCCTTCCATTGCCCGAAGGAAAGGAGTGGGCTGTTTGCTGTGTTACCGGATAGGGTGCTGCAAGGTTGGGCAAGAGATGCCCTGAGTTTGTATGGCAAGATGACTTGAAAAAAGGTGATGATTTTGTCTTTGAGCTGATCGGAACGAGATATGTGGTTCTGAAAAGTTACCATTTTTTGAGTTCTTGAATTTGCTTGAGCACCAGCTATGAAACCCTGAAGTAGAATATTCAACAAACCAATATAATCTATAATCTCGTGGTTTATAATTTGCTCAGGTAAACTTGCTGTTCTGCTAATGCATTTTTCATCATTCAATTAAAAATGAAATATTTCAAATAACAATTTGTAAGTAGTAGTTTTGAAGTTTTTACTGCTTAGTTTTGAATTATATGACAAATTATTCTAGTTGTTTTTTAGTCATAATTTGTAAGCATCTAAACCAAATTAGTCAAACAAACAGAAATTAATTTCTTAAATGCAATATATAAATTTTGAAAGAGATATTGCAAGCTCAATTTATAGAAATCATATCATCAATGTCGTGTTTATCTAACGTTTATGCATCGATGAATGTTTTTCGATAATTTTTTTAAATATTATAATATTTAATATTTTATTTCATCAATAAAAAACGAAATTTATTTGAACAAATAAAAATTTTATAAAGTTTTTATTATCTTATTAATCAGAGTTAAAAATACATAATTATAATATTTAGAAACAAATAATTTTAATTTAGTAGTCAATAATGTGATTTAATTATAAATTAGAATACATTAAAATATGCACCATCAATCTGGTTGTTGAAATGGTCTTATAGTTTCTATTTGTTATGTTCTGGAGAAGATGAAGCAGAAATATATATATGTACATATTTATATACGTATTCAAAGATTTTGCTTCTACGTAAGCAGCGGGTAGTTTCCCTCCCATTCAAAAAGGGAAAATCTGAGGAAGATGAAGGAGAAGATATGAAAACAGTTGCTAACGAGAAGCCGCATGATATTTTTGCAGCTTGTTTAATTTTTTTTTTTTAATTACGTTGAAAATTAATATAAAAATTATAATTTATTTTATTTATTATAAATTTAAATTTAAATATAATTTATTTTTTTAATTTTATATTTATTTATAGAATTTATCTTTTAAAATATTTAATTTATATTTATTTTTTAAATTGTAATATATTATTTTTTAAAAAATTTGATTAAATGTAAATGTAACGGCTCCGAAAATTTAAAATGAAATGTATATTAAAAATATCAATGCGGAAATGAAGTTAAAAATTCGATTAACATTCCTTACACTAAAACCAAAAAACGTGCTCACAAAATATAAAAGATCAAACTAGCTAAAGGGAAAAATTGAAAGTAAAAGTTACGAATATGACTATGGAGTCTTTAGGCGTCCCCTTCGTCGTCCTCCTGCGGAACCGGCTCGAGAACAATGTCTTCCTGATCTAAAATGATTAAATAAGGAATGAGCTACACTAGTCCAATAAAGACATCACGATATCTCACCGTCACGGAGGTAAAGGTGGGTAGAAAAC